CCACCGTGAATACGGTTATAGGACAGTCCTTACATAGGAATTAGCACAAATCCACCGTGAATACGGTTATAGGACAGTCCGCATATAGAAAATAGGACAAGACTCCTGGCAGGAATTGGGGCATATCTTCCCTAAATAAAGTTTTGAGCTTTCAAGAATAAATTAGAACGAGGCTTCCGTGAAGAAAGTTGAAGGACGTCTCAGTTAGAAGTTTTATGCCCCTGAAAGGAAAGTAAAAGATCATAACCAGTGGCGGAACAGCTCTAAGAACATAACTAGCGGTGCAACAGCTGTAAAACCGTAACTAGCGGCGCAACAGCTGTAAAAAAAGACTCTTCCTGTCGAAAAATTATATTGGTGGAAATACTTGTTCTATCTACTTCAAGAGGTCAGTATGGGTAGCTCAAGGAATTAAGCAAAATCCCCAGTTGTCTTTCTCTTGTTCCATTTACTGCTGCCACAACGCCCGCTACGTCGTTTAATGGTCTTCTTTCAAGCCTCTCGCTTGAAGGGCGCCATGAAGGTTTCACGGAACATCGACGGACATCTCTAAAAGATTATCACTAGTCGTCCAATATGACGAGGTGATAAAACGACGGCAGATGGAACAGCCAGCTTCGTACGAGGTGGTTGACTAGTTACTAGTTCAACGTCGATATATCCTGCGGCTAAAGGTAGCTCGGCAGTTGTGAGGTTGCGTTGTGGAGCGAAGTTTTACATTTGGAAACCTTGTGTTGAGTTGCAGGATGTCGGGTGATGGCGTTTCTAAGAAATTGTTCTGTCAAGTTGAACACGACCAAAATGCTTGTCGGAGCAAAGAGAAGAATATCAATTTACAAACGGTTTCTCGGAGTGGGTGGACCTTGACATGTTGTTGTCAACACCAGCTAAGTTGTGCGCATCCCTCAGTGATCATTATTCATGTCACTTGGTAGCGAGTTAATTGCAGTCCAGAAGGTTTTAGCTTTCGCTCTCGGAAATCTTAGAAATACGCGAATACTAGATATAACGGTATTCTATATTGTATTGAAAAATCATATTTTTCAAAGAAATTGACTTATCTCTCTCTACTTTGGGGTTTAACATCCCCTACTGGAGAGAAAATGACTTGTTCGGCGCCATCCTCTCCGTGTGTTTTCAGCATTGGAGCTTCGAATGAAGAGAAGACTGGTTTTGCGCCTTTCTCCGTGTGGTTTCAACATTGGAGCTTCGACTGAAGAGAAAAAGACTGGGATTGAGTTTTCCTCCGTGTGGTTTCGCAATTGGGGCACCAACTGAAGAGAAGAAGACTTGTTTTGCGCCTTCCTCCGTGTGGTTTCAACATTGGAGCTTCAACTGAAGATAGGACTGGTTTTGCGCCTTCCTCCGTGTGGTATCAACATTGGAGCTTCGACTGAAGAGAAGAAGACTGGTTTTGCGCCTTCCTCCGTGTGGTTTCAACATTGGAGCTTCTACTGAAGATAAGACTGGTTTTGCGCCTTCCTCCGTGTGGTATCAACATTGGAGCTTCGACTGAAGAGAAGAAGACTGGTTTTGCGCCTTCCTCCGTGTGGTTTCAACATTGGAGCTTCTACTGAAGATAAGACTGGTTTTGCGCCTTCCTCCGTGTGGTATCAACATTGGAGCTTCGACTGAAGAGAAGAAGACTGGTTTTGCGCCTTCCTCCGTGTGGTTTCAACATTGGAGCCTCAACTGAAGATAAGACTGGTTTTGCGCCTTCCTCCGTGTGGTATCAACATTAGAGCTTCAACTGAAGATAAGACTGGTTTTGCGCCTTCCTCCGTGTGGTTTCAACATTGGAGCTTCAACTGAACAGAAAAAGACTTGCTTTGCGCCTTCCTCCGTGTGGTTTCAACATTGAAGCTCCAACTGAAGAGAATAAGGCTGTTTTGCGTCTTCCTCCATATGTTATCTACATTGGAGCTTCAACTGAAGAGAAGAAGAGTTTTGCGTTTTCCTCCGTGTGGTTTCAACATTGGAGCCCCCAACTGAAGCGAAGAAAACTTTTTTTACTCCTACTCCCGTGTGGTTTCAACATTAGAGTTTCGACTGAAGAGAAGAAGACGCGTTTTGCGCCTTCCTCCGTTGTGGTTTCAACATTGAAGCTCCAACTGAAGAGAAGAAGACTTGTTTTCCCCTTCCTCCGTGCGGTTCAACATCGAAGCTTCGACTGAAGAGAAGAAGACTGGTTTTGCGCCTTCCTCCATGTGGTTTCAACATTGGAGCTTCGACTGAAGAGAAGAAGGCTTGTTTTGCGCTTTCTTCCGTGTGGTTTCAACATTGGAGCTTCAACTGAAGATAAGACTGGTTTTGCGCCTTCCTCCGTGTGGTATCAACATTGGAGCTTCGACTGAAGAGAAGAAGACTGGTTTTGCGCCTTCCTCCGTGTGGTTTCAACATTGGAGCTTCTACTGAAGATAGGACTGGTTTTGCGCCTTCCTCCGTGTGGTAGCAACATTTGAGCTTCGACTGAAGAGAAGAAGACTGGTTTTTCGCCTTCCTCCGTGTGGTTTCAACATTGGAGCTTCAACTGAACAGAAAAAGACTTGTTTTGCGACTTCCTCCATATGTTATCTACATTGGAGCTTCAACTGAAGAGAAGAAGAGTTTTTGCGTTTTCCTCCGTGTGGTTTCAACATTGGAGCCCCCAACTGAAGAGAAGAAAACTTTTTTTACGCCTACTCCCGTGTGGTTTCAACATTAGAGTTTCGACTGAAGATAAGAAGAATTGATTTGCGCCTACCTCCGTGTGGTTTCAACATTGGAGCTTCAACTGAAGAGAAGAAGACTTGTTTTCCCCTTCCTCCGTGTGGTTTTAAAATTGGAGCTACGACTGAATAGAAGAAGACTGGTTTTCGCCTTCCTCCGTGTGGTTGCAACATTGGAGCTTCAACTGAAGAGAAGAAGTCTTATTTCATGCCTTCCTTCGTGTGGTTTTAACATTGGAGCTACGACTGAAGATAAGACTGGTTTTGCGCCTTCCTCCGTGTGGTTTCAATATTGGAGCTTCAACTGAAGAGAAAAAGACTTGTTTTGCGCCTTCCTCCGTGTGGTTCCAACATTGGAGCTTCAACTGAAGATAAGACTGGTTTTGCGCCTTCCTCCGTGTGGTTTCAATATTGGAGCTTCAACTGAAGAGAAAAAGACTTGTTTTGCGCCTTCCTCCGTGTGGTTTCAACATTGAAGCTCCAACTGAAGAGAATAAGGCTGGTTTTGCGCCTTCCTCCATATGTTATCTAAATTGGAGCTTCAACTGAAGAGAAGAAGAGTTTTTGCGTTTTCCTCCGTGTGGTTTCAACATTGAAGCCCCCAACTGAAGAGAAGAAAACTTTTTTTACGCCTACTCCCGTGTGGTTTCAACATTAGAGCTTCGACTGAAGAGAAGAAGACGCGTTTTGCGCCTTCCTCCGTGTGGTCTCAACATTGGAGCTACGATTGAAGAGAAGAAGACTGGTTTTGCGCCTTCCTCCGTGTGGTTTCAATATTATAGCTTCAAATGAAGATAAGAAGTCTTATTTCATGCCTTCCTCCGTGTGGTTTCAACATTGGAGCTTCGACTGAAGATAAGAAGACTTGATTTGCTCCTTCCTCCGTGTGGTTTCAACATTGGAGCTTCAACTGAATATAAGACTGGTTTTGCGCCTTCCTCCGTGTGGTTTCAACATTGGAGCTTTAACTGAAGAGAATAAGGCTGGTTTTGCGCCTTCCTCTATATGTTATCTACATTGGAGCTTCAACTGAAGAGAAGAATAGTTTTTGCGTTTTCCTTCGTGTGGTTTCAACATTGGAGCCCCCAACTGAAGAGAAGAAAACTTGTTTTCCCTTTCCTCCGTGTGGTTTTAAAATTGGAGCTACGACTGAAAAGAAGAAGACTGGTTTTGTGCCTTCCTCCGTGTGGTTCCAACATTGGAGCTACGACTGAAGAGAAGAAGACAGGTTTTACGCCTTCCTCCGTGTGGTTTCAACATTATAGCTCCAACTGAAGAGAAGAAGACGGGTTTTGCGTCTTCCTCCGTGTGGTTTCAACATTGGAGCTTCGGCTGAAGAGAAAGAAGACTTGTTTTGCGCCTTCCTCCGTGTGGTTCCAACATTGAATCTCCAACTGAAGAGAAGAAGACTTGTTTTGCGCCTTCCTTCGTGTGGTTCAACATTGAAGCTTCGACTAAAGAGAAAAAGACTGGTTTGCGCCTTCCTCCGTGTGGTTTCAACATTGAAGCTCCAACTGAAAAGAAGAAGACTGGTTTCATGCCTTCCTCCGTGTGGTTTCAACATTGAAGCTTCGACTGAAGAGAAGAAGACCTGTTTTGCGCCTTCCTCCGTGTGGTTTCAACATTGGAGCTTCAACTGAAGAGAAGAAGGCTGGTTTTGCGCCTTCCTCCGTGTGGTTTCAACATTGGAGCTCCAACTGAAAAGAAGACTGGTTTCATGCCTTTCCCTGTGTGATTTCAACATTGGAGCTTTGACTGAAGAGAAGAAGTCTTGTTCAGCACCTAAAAGTTGTACTGTGTCTTCTGCGCGCAAATAATTGCACAAGGTTAGTTTTATTTTCATTTTACCCCTGTTGCAAGATGTTTACCTCATTATCAACAAGGGATCGTAGGTTTTGATAATTTCCGAAGGAGGTTTTCGAACTCGCCTTCTAGGCTTGGTGGTCATTCGATTCCAAACTTCAATATTAGAGCTCCTACTGGACAGATATATCTAGGACATCAATGGACAATTCAGATCGAGACCCACTGAAGACAACAGGTCTGAGAAATCCTTATAGGACATTGTCAAGGTGGAATGTTTCTACTCAACCTGTCTTGTTTCACAGATTTAGTTGTTAAAACCTCTCTGATTGATCAGATCGTCTCGACCCGTTCGAGAACTCCTTCAGAATCCGCGTGATTGCAACGCCATTAGCGGGTGGGTGTCCCCCAGTGTGCTGTAGTAAGGTAAGAGTTGAGGTTAGTGTAAGGTAAAGAAAGCACTTACCATAGTGTCAGTCGAAGTGGCCAAGACAAAATCAGCTTTCACAATGATCTCAGAAATTGCACAATCTGATAATCACTGTGAAAACCCGTTTCGTCCATATACTCTGCCGTCCGTCCGTCCGTTTGTCCATCCGCTGGCCGCAGGAGGAGGAGGCTCTGCAGACGACGACCAATTAGAATGCGGAGGGCGGGATGGAAACCCCGGTGTTGGAAGGAACAATGGAGGTCAGCGCTAATAAATTGATTCGCTCGCCACACAACGGTGTTACTTTCATCCAGTACTTGGTTAATGTCAATATGCAAATAGCTAGGGGCTGCATATTTCTTCAGAAATTCTCTTTTAAGATATTATTATCCGAAACTTAAAACCTAAGTGAGATGTAATTCAAAATATTTTAAAGAGAAAAATATATTTTCTTCCTTTTTGTGAGTTTTTAATTTTTTTTTTAAACTTTAATTCAACACATATAACTTGACGTTCATTCCTGAATTAACCCATGTATTCTCTCTCCCCGTGTTCAGTACGGGCATCATTTACAATGGGCCGCAACTCTCCATTCATGAGACCCTAGAGGCAGTAGTAAATGTTAATTAATTCATTCATTATATGCGAATGATTAGAAGCTGTAGTAAAACTGTTCATTCACAATATGCACGGAAGCGGTTCCATTCATTCCTAATGTGCGTAAAGATTTTGTAGTACGTCTTCATTCACGATGTGTGCGGGTGGTGAAGCAGTAGTAAAAGTGTTCATTCACAACGTGTGAGGCTCCATTCACTCACTCCCGTACAGCAGGATAGGCGTGGGTGTCCGTCCATTGAGGAGAGGCGGTAGTAAGGCCACCAGAAAGGCTCTATAAGGCCGTCCTACACGCGGCGAGTGGGCGACACCGCCTACTGCTCCTATACCGGACAGACCTCGCGACTAATTAAAACAACGCCGTACAAGTCCCGGATCCCACCTTGAAGCGCATAGTTTGCCTGACGCACATCCTGTTATGTCGTCCTTACATTCTCCATTCCTTACTCAGCGACATTCATGTGCTTCCTTCAGAGAAAATCTCCGCGATGTTTGTCGAGTGACGTGGTATTTGTTTACCGCTGCAACAATGCCCTCGAGATAGGTCTATCTCCGAGATAAACAACAGGACCCCACAGAGATGCTTACTCTAAGGCCACCAGCGAGGACCAGTCTCGGATTTTGATCCAATTGGTTAGAGCGGATGCCGTTCTTTCTTTGCTGATTGTGTGCGTCAGCCCCTGTAAGAACATATACAACGGGAGGAGAACAATTTGCATACAGACTGTGGCGACGGTATGATCCCAAAATACTCTGGGAAGATGATTGGTGCCAAAGCCGCCGCGGCGTAAACAATCCCGCCCGGGATGTACGTCCCCCACCCCCCTTTTGTAAAGTCCAAGTTGGAGCAGCGATCTCTAGCGAAGGTCCTGCTCAGCCAATCCAGAGTGTTCTGGTGCTTACTTACATTTTGAGGTAGATTTGGCGCATGTTACATACTCTCCTCTTGCATAGCGGTGCTTTCAAAACGTTTGGGCAACTAGGAGGAGATAGCTGGCGAGATATTAAAAGGTTTAGAAACATTGTACACAGTGCAAGTGAAAACTTTGGCCGAAATACAAAATAAACAATTAATTGTAAACACGAGATAGTTTACAATAGGTAACTGGACAAACGGGAACTGTGAAGAAATTCTTAGGATACTGCTGCAGTAAGCAAAAACAATTTTAAAAATTATCATTATAAATAAGTTTTAAAAACTTACTTTGAAAATCTATTTTCGTTTAAATTTCCCACAAATTCTGCACAGGACTCTGATGGCATTCACAACATAACACTTCATGGACGGTAATTATAGGGATTCTCTTGATTAACTCAGTGGTAGATGTGGTTTTTATTGATTTAATATTCGGAGAAGGAGCTTTTAGAGGAAGAAGGAGGCGGGTTTCTTTCTCACACCATGGTTAGTTTGTATTCATACTCTGACAGCACGGCGTGACTTGACAGCACGTTGGGTTTTACACACAGTTTCTTTCCCTCGTCCTCTCTTCATCTAATGGACGCGGCTTTCCACCCATGTCTGCGACATATACGACCACGTAATGTGCGTCCAAAAAGGTGTATGCGCCGTGGCTTTCAAATATAGTTTTGGTGAACAAGGTTGAAACGTTCTCAATCAACGCGTCCCATATATGTGCGCAATTAGGTAAATCTCCTCCCTTGCAAGCCACGACAACAAGGGTACGCAAATTTGGTAGCATCCTTTGGTTAGTCTCAGCACAAGGTGTATGTCACGTCATTACAAATACGTCCTTGTTAGGATGGTCGAGTAACTCCACGCATTCAACTTCCCTTCTATCCCAAGTACACAGTGACTGCTGTAAGTGCACCAAATATCTGCACATGTAGAAAGTAGGTACAAGACACCAGAGCTTATTTTAATTACTTTCACTCGCTGATGGGGTTAGACTTGTGCATGGGTCGGGGGCTCGTGAAGCAATTTTTAGCACCTTCCCCTTTTTTTGAACCAGTAACATTAGGCTAAACCCAGCGATCCGCACCCGACTTCATAGTTAGATTATTGACTTCTTGATAAAGAAACACGAGGCCGAACTAACGCATCTCGGTCAAACCCCAAAGTTGCACATCCTCCTATATTTACATAGCCTGGCGGTTTTATACCAAACGTCTTGTGTTTTCCCTGTTATTTCAGCAAGAACCTTGTGTGATGGATGTGAGGGAACCGCTGCTAGCACAGATTTAGGAATGGTTACGAGGAAGTTCTGCCTACTACACTGCCGCCGTAGCAATTGCTTTACTGACGCTTGAGGATTTCCACAGTTTTTTTTTTTTTTAATGAGCCGTGCGAGCCCCTAGGCCTTGGAAAATCGCCGGACTTGGTGAGATTTGATTGGAGACTACAAACTTGAAGACTCAAAAGGAAATAAAAGTTGCCGGGAGAGGTATTCCAAGGATCATATAGAGATTTGTTTATTGACCATACTTCAAGAATTAATCCAAAGATCAGTTTTGTAAAATCGAATGGCCTACGACGAGGTTAAGAGACTACTACGTCCCACGTGCGGCGGTGAATGGGGGCGAAGCTGAGTCAGCGCAACTTCCTCCGTGACTCACGGCAGCAGCCTTCGGAGAAGTAAGTGACCGGAAATACTTCTCGGTAACGTTTCCGGTTAGTAGCCCTCGGTCATCTGGACGTGGGCGGCGGAATTGATGACACCCCCACTCGGCCCGTTTGTCATCGTCTCCCAGAATGACGGATTTTCCCTGGAGGGGGAAAATCGGTCGTCTATAGTAAATAAGTCCTCACAATGTAAGACGTTGTGGATCGAAGGGACTCCGGGAATATATCGGCGGCCCAGACGTCGCCGGACGGAAATAGCCCCGGTGGTGGTGAATCTAGACCACGACGTCTGGCCATGTTTTTTGGTGAGCTTCCGGTGCCCTGCGTCACCTTTTTTACATATTTCTCCCTCCATCCGTTTCTCGGAGTAGACTACAAGAGACTTGCACAGATTCCCACTCTTACTGCACCCATTTGTTTCTCGGAGTAGACTACAAGAGACTTGCGCAGATTCCTACTTTTACTGCACCCATTCGTTTCTCGGAGTAGACTACAAGAGACTTGCACAGATTCCCACTCTTACTGCACCCATTCGTTTCTCGGAGTAGACTACAAGAGACTTGCGCAGATTCCCACTCTTACTGCACCCATTCGTTTCTCGGAGTAGACTACAAGAGACTTGCACAGATTCCCACTCTTACTGCACCCATTCGTTTCTCGGAGTAGACTACAAGAGACTTGCACAGATTCCCACTCTTACTGCACCCATTCGTTTCTCGGAGTAGACTACAAGAGACTTGCACAGATTCCCACTCTTACTGCACCCATTCGTTTCTCGGAGTAGACTACAAGAGACTTGCGCAGATTCCCACTCTTACTGCACCCATTCGTTTCTCGGAGTAGACTACAAGAGACTTGCGCAGATTCCCACTCTTACTGCACCCATTCGTTTCTCGGAGTAGACTACAAGAGACTTGCGCAGATTCCTACTTTTACTGCACCCATTTGTTTCTCGGAGTAGACTACAAGAGACTTGCGCAGATTCCTACTTTTACTGCACCCATTCGTTTCTCGGAGTAGACTACAAGAGACTTGCACAGATTCCCACTCTTACTGCACCCATTCGTTTCTCGGAGTAGACTACAAGAGACTTGCGCAGATTCCCACTCTTACTGCACCCATTCGTTTCTCGGAGTAGACTACAAGAGACTTGCGCAGATTCCTACTTTTACTGCACCCATTCGTTTCTCGGAGTAGACTACAAGAGACTTGCGCAGATTCCCACTCTTACTGCACCCATTCGTTTCTCGGAGTAGACTACAAGAGACTTGCACAGATTCCCACTCTTACTGCACCCATTCGTTTCTCGGAGTAGACTACAAGAGACTTGCACAGATTCCCACTCTTACTGCACCCATTCGTTTCTCGGAGTAGACTAAAAGAGACTTGCACAGATTCCCACTCTTACTGCACCCATTTGTTTCTCGGAGTAGACTACAAGAGACTTGCGCAGATTCCTACTTTTACTGCACCCATTCGTTTCTCGGAGTAGACTACAAGAGACTTGCACAGATTCCCACTCTTACTGCACCCATTCGTTTCTCGGAGTAGACTACAAGAGACTTGCACAGATTCCCACTCTTACTGCACCCATTCGTTTCTCGGAGTAGACTACAAGAGACTTGCGCAGATTCCTACTTTTACTGCACCCATTCGTTTCTCGGAGTAGACTACAAGAGACTTGCGCAGATTCCTACTTTTACTGCACCCATTCGTTTCTCGGAGTAGACTACAAGAGACTTGCACAGATTCCCACTCTTACTGCACCCATTCGTTTCTCGGAGTAGACTACAAGAGACTTGCACAGATTCCCACTCTTACTGCACCCATTCGTTTCTCGGAGTAGACTAAAAGAGACTTGCACAGATTCCCACTCTTACTGCACCCATTCGTTTCTCGGAGTAGACTACAAGAGACTTGCGCAGATTCCTACTTT